TTGCTGCATTATGTACTCTCTCTGCTCATAAGTTATCTTTTCGCCACATTTCTTCGGGCACTTACGACTAACTTTTAAAACTTTTTTGTCGTACATTTTCTTCGATCTACACCCTTTATACGCTTCTCCTGAATTTTTTTAATTATTATTCTTAACATCTTGTTTTTCGTTTAAATTTTGTTTAAGTTTTCTTGTATTTTTTTCCCTTTGTTGGTTCTTGAACTATACTAAATGATAACTATCCATTTTGATTTGATCTTCTCTATCATAGTTTTCAATATAATCTGGGCTCTGATGGTCGGCTACGTTACTGTTTTCTCCGGTTTGTGTCAGATTTTGATGACTAGTATTATTTTTTTATTGGTAATAATCGTTTTGTCCGACAATATGAAATCCAAAAACATATTCAAGTTATAATGTTGCATCCAAATCAAAAAGAGACGGTGATGGTTCTGCTTCTTTTTCAGTTTCATGATTCATGATTAATAGTATTACGAGTATAAGAGGTTGACGTTTATTTTTAAAATATTTTATTTAGGCATTTTTTTGATGACAGTTTTGTTTTGTACCCCTACGGTCCATAACTTTCATGTGGTGAAGTTTGTATCAAATCAAATAATTTAGTAATTTTAATAATAGTATATTTACATCAGCATATCATACTCATACACACACATAACGTTTGTTTAAATTTATGACATTTACCAAATAATTGTATTTTGGACATTTGTATTCTTCAATATTAAAAATTCTATCATTCGTCATCAACATTTTTAAAACTTGTTTTTCTGTTAAACCACCTTTGTATTATATAGTATACTATAACTAATGTTTTTGGGAAATCAAACAAAATTTATGATTAATTTAAAATTTTATTTTCAAGCAATAACCACTTGTAAAAAACCCACACTTCGTCACAAGAACAATGTAAAATTTTGTGATTATTTTTTGTAAATATATGATTATTACACACATAACGTTTGTTTAAATTTATGACATTTACCAAATCATTGTATTTTGGACATTTGTATTCTTCAATATTAAAAATTCTATCATTCGTCGTCAACATTTTTAAAAATTGTTTTTCTGTTGAACCACCTTTGTATGCGATCACTTCGTCTTTGCACAAATTTCTAATATACCAATTTAATATGGGAATGATTTTCTCTTGTTTGTAGGCACATTTTAATTCTTCGGTCACATCAAAATATGGAATGCCGTGCACGTGTGTTTTACAATAACGAACAGTTTTTTTGTCTTTTGGCGACAAATAATTGAAATGATAACTTGGCCGAAACAAATAATGATCGATAAACGCATCATTTTTATTAGATAGTTTTACGTCTAGAATAGCCATTTCTCTACATTGAAAATGTTTATGAGGATATGTAATGTAAAATCCATCCATGTCGATTATGTATCTAATATTTTTTAGATTTTGTGTCATTTTGAACCAAAATGTTAAAAGTATTTACATGTGACTAAAAATATGTTTGTTCCAACAAACTTCACATAACAATTAATTCTTCATTACTTCCCATCATCCCATTTCTTCCTTCTGCTCTTGTCTTCCTGTAATTTAAGTAAACAGAATCACGTTCACTAATGATCAACTAATGACTGTCATTGTTAAAAAAGTATTTTTTAACTACTCTAGTATTCGTAGATGCGGTACACACACAATAATTAAATATAATTTGTTATCACTAAATCATATACACGTAAGAAAATAACAGAAAGAAAAGTAAGTTTGTCAATAGAATAAACACTTAAAATTGCAATTAAAAATTTAATTGGTGCCGCCTGGGATCGAACCCGGGTACTGTGAAATTTACAGCTTGCGATAACCATCTGAGCTACCACGGCTTAATCATATACACACACACACACACAATATTTAAATATAATTTGTTAACACTAAATCATACACACGTAAGAAAATAACAAAAAGAAAAGTAAGTTTGTCAATAGATTAAACACTTAAAATTGCAATTAACAATTTAATTGGTGCCGGCGGGGATCGAACCCGCGTACTGTGAAATTTACAGCTTGCGCTAACCATCTGAGCTACCACAACTTAATCATATACACACACACACACAATATTTAAATATAATTTGTTAACACTAAATCATACACACGTAAGAAAATAACAGAAAGAAAAGTAAGTTTGTCAATAGATTAAAACTATAAAATTTCAATTAACAATTTAATTGGTGCCGGCGGGGATTGAACCCACGTCGCGTACTGTGAAATTTACAGCTTGCGCTAACCATCTGAGCTACCACGGCTTAATCATATATACGCACACAATATTTAAATATAATTTGTTAACACTAAATCATACACACGCAAGAAAATAACAGAAAGAAAAGTAAGTTTGTCAATAGATTAAACACTTACATCTATGGCCTTTGATGCGTTGAAGTAACACAAATGTAGTATTGATAGATCCACTGCGGTCAAACGACCATACACTAACTCCATGACTGCAGTTGCTTGGTCTTATATAGTACCAGTACGTAATAATTCTAATCTAAAAAATTTCTACAGTGGAATTAATAATAACTTTATGCATCAACAAGCTTATCTCACATTTTGTTGCTTATCTCAACATTACGTCGTGTCGCGTCTTGTTCAGTGTATTGATGACTCAAATACGTTTTGTATAATACAAAATAATGCAATTTAATATTTAGAAATCACTATAATTGATCATTCCTATGTTAGTCATTGAGTAGATTGTACTGTAATAATCTACTAATAGCAGTAATATCATGGATACACTAGATGTACAACATCTGAAAAAGATTCACCCCAGTCTAGAAAATAATGTTTATGCTGCTAATAGACTGCCCATGTACACCCACGTACCAACGTATATACCTAGTCAGGTCATAAGTATTGTCACACAGTAAAAACTTTTCTTTTAGAATGCTGGCCACAAAAAAGTTTATTGAATTCGAATTGTTCATGAAAATAAAACTGTATACTTTTTAGAATTTTACTCATTTTTAAATATGGAGTGGACGCTTTAAGAAGACCATGTTGCAGTTATTGCGTTGCATCGTTGAGGTTACGCACCAATTCAAATATTTGACATACTGAAAAATTTGAATATAACCAAAAGATTCGTTTATCGTACCATCTAACGATACAATGAAGACTCTAGTGTAGATGACAGGTCAAGAAGTGGTCACCCTCGGTCTGTTAGGACTACAGCAGTAATAAAAGCTGTGAAGACGCGAATTTAAAGAAATCCCAAACGTAAGCAGAAACTGTTAGCCCTTCAGATGGGGGTTAAGCAGAACCACGGTGAAAAGGGTGTTAAATGAAGACTTAGAGCTTCAGGCATATCGAAGAAAAACAGGACATCGTTTGAATGCTCGTCTAAGAGACCTGAGACTGAAGAGATGCCGCGCTTTGTTGAAGTGTTACGCGGGAAAAAAATATCGGGAAATTCTTTTTTCGGATGAAAAAATTTTTACCGTAGAAGAGAGCTACAACAAACAAAATGATAAGGTGTACGCACACAGTAGTGAAGAAGCGAGCAACCTTATTCCGCGTGTCCAACGAGGTCATTTTCCATCCTCGCTCATGGTATGGTTGGGAGTTTCTTATTGGGGCTTAACAGAGATACATTTTTGTGAGAAAGGTGTAAAAACGAATGCAGTTGTTTATCAAAATACAGTCCTGACGAACCTTGTGTAACCTGTTTCTCATACCATGTTCAATAACAGGCACTGGGTATTCCAACAAGATTCGACGTCAGCTCATAGAGCGAAGAGCACATAAGACTGGCTGGCGGCGCGTGAAATCGACTTCATCCGGCACGAAGACTGGCCCTCCTCCAGTCCAGATTTGAATCCGTTAGATTACAAGATATGGCAACACTTGGAGGAAAAGGCGTGCTCAAAGCCTCATCCCAATTTGGAGTCACTCAAGACATCCTTGATTAAGGCAGCCGCCGATATTGACATGGACCTCGTTCGTGCTGCGATAGACGACTGGCCGCGTAGATTGAAGGCCTGTATTCAAAATCACGGAGGTCATTTTGAATAAACTATAGTGTCATAAGAATCTATGTTTTGTTAAGCTCATTTTGGTATATAAATAGTTACATAATGAATAAACTTGTTTCAATTATTTTATATTAAACATGTGATAGAATTTATGACCTGACTAGGTAATATGCAATTTGGGTACAGATGATAAACCAGGGTCACATTGGGTAGCTTTATATATCGATACGAATGATGTCGATCAATATTTTGATTTATATGGACGAGCACCTGTACGATATCATCTAGAGTTTTTAAAAAGGAATTGTAAAAGATGGAACTGGAATGTTGATATGATTCAGAATGAGTGGACTTCAGTTTGTGGCGAATATTGCTCAATGTATTTACTATATAAGTTTCAGGGATATTCAATGCATAGTTTTACGAGTATATTTACAGGGAACACATTGTACAACGATATTTTAGTGGATGACATGTTTCGCTCCTATTTTATAGATAATAAGTAATAAGATTTTGTATTTTATAAATGAAAATTTTGACAAAATTAGGTAATGTGTTTTATTGTTGATACAGATTAGTGTTGTAGATAGTAACAATAGAATATAATACAATAGCACTGATTAGCCGACGCACACGCTAATGAATAATAGATAATGACGGTATTCAATGAACAATAGATAAGAATAATGGGGCGCTAATGACGGTGAAGGCCCGCACCGGATATCAATTAGATAAGAGTTAATTGATCTGCACATCTCCGGAACCGTGCATCCTACGCAAAAATGGACAGCAGATTCGTGATCAGAGCATGCCAAAACTTTTTTTTTAGGATCGTGAGTCGACGAACGTCGTACTTGTACCACTTCTGACTCAGTGCGCCAGAACTGGTACAACGTAACTACTCTCTCCCGAATGTATCTTATAGGTCATGGAAAGGTTGCCAACTATTTTACCGTTACTTAGCATCTTTTAGACTACTTAGCACATAACTTCTAATACAGAATGGTCTCCGTCCGTCTCTGGTCTCCTGCAAATCATAAGTCCGGTCAATGAATATCCTATTCTTTTTCGACAAGACAATTAATTTGGTTTGTCAAACTTGTTCAAAAAATCAGCGATAATGTCTTTTTATTATTTTTGTCGCAATTCCATCCGCTTGGTAGACAATAACAGCAATCCAAGCTCTAAGGTCGGGGGAAGTAGAAGGAACTTCTGAGAAGAAATTTTAACTTTATACACGCATCAGTTTAGGGTGTGTCAATTTTTATATACTCTTATTTTAATTTGTTAACGACAAATAACTCTTTTGTGTTTTATAGAAACTCTGTTTTCTAAAAAAAAACCATGAAGCAAGCAAAGGGTCAATCCGTTTTCCGATTATAATGAAAGAATTCAAAATCAGTATTTTTCAGAGATTACCTAGTAAAGTAAAGTAAAAAATGTAAGCAATATATTCTGTGATATTACTACCATAGATGTAGATTGTGCCTTAATCTACAAGCTACAGTAGAGACGGCACACGGCAGCAAGAATTCTCTCAAGGTAAAACCAAAATTTATTCTTCAATATGAATCGAGGAATTTACAAGCAGGCTTGCTCAGTATAAAGGTACAATTGCTTATACGTGTAGTAAAGCCCAACTTCTCTTGCTTCGGGTGTGCAAATATATTTACTTATCTATCAAAATGGTTATCACATTTTGTTAGAAAACATTTAGACGAGATAAATGTAATACAGATTTAATTGTCTGCAAATTTTAGTAAAAAAGAAGGAGTTACAACTTACATAACTTCTGGCAGACATTGTGTATAGCCACACAGTACATAGGTACATCGACATCGCGTATTATTTACTGCCAAATCTCATGGCAGCATTATATATTTTTTATTTATTGTCTAGTGTGATGCTAGTGTGATTTTTACATTATCTTTTATACGTAAATAATTTATTAAGGGTACACTAGTCGCTCATTCTTCCATACAAGCGTAGTCTGGCGATTACTCCACTGTTTGATGATGTACGTACAAAATAAAAAATGATTTCTATTTGTCTCATAATTATCTAGCCCTGTATGGAAACAAAATAGTAAAAAAGATTATGTTTAAAAGTTATAAGCGTCGAAAATTCCGAATTTCAACACTATTTTTAACACATCTTTGGGCGGAAATAAATACCATAAGAAGAACGAAAATTGCAAAACAGTTACCATACAGGGGTAGAAAATGCAAATAATTTTATTTTGAACAGATATATTCAATAGATTTTTCATGACATCCAGACTCCCAAAGGTCTGTTTATAAAATTTCGCGCGCTCCGTTTCGTTGTAAATCATCTTGCCTTTCGCTACAAATTGTTTCCCCGATCAGTTGGACGGACGGAGGGGGGGCGCAGCGCGCACCCACACATGCTTACTAGGTTAGCTGCTGCTATCTATTTATGGTTGTAATACCTACATATCTACATCTTTATTTAGAAAAATTGCTTCCTTTTATTTGTGTCCACTTGCTGAAGCCGAGATGAATATAGCTGGTAAAATGTACACATAAGCTTGTTGAAGCACATGTAGTTAAAATTGAAAACAGATAGGTACATAATAATGAACTTTATGTAAGTACATAAGAATTAATAGCCGTGGTAGCTCAGATGGTTAGCGTGCGCTTTAAATTTCACAGTACGCGAGCAAACCGGGTTCGATCCCCGCCGGCACCAATGAAATTGTTAATTGCAATTTTAAGTGCTGATTTACCACGTGCTCGGCGGTGAAGGAAAACATTGTGAGGAAACCTGCATGTCAGAGAAATAAAAAAAATATATTTCGAAGACATGTGAAGTTCGCCAACACGCATTGGGGCAGCGCGGCGGACAATTACTTGTCCTAAAACCCTCTCAGAAATAAGCGGAGGCCTGTGCCCAACAGTGGGACGTGCATATAGGCTGTAACTTTACTTTACTTTACTTTTACATAAGAATCTAAGAAGGGCAGTCAATGATAAATAAAATTTGTTTTGTAAGTTGTTTTTTTTTTAAAACACTAACACAAAACAAAAATGAAACTGAGAGGAAGCACCCGATCTGCCGAAACAAACTCAGAGAGGTCAGTCCAGGTATTACATTGGTCATGTCATACAAGAACCAGGCAGGTGGCTAATGGTCCTTTGAAGAAAGAACCATACAGATGTGAGTGGACAACTAAGTACTTTTTAGGATTCCTTACCCGAAGGGTAACCAGCAGGGCCCTATTACGAAGCCTCCGCTGTTCGTGTGTCTGTCTGTCAGCGGGCTGTATCTCATGATCCGTAACAGGTAGATGGTTGTAATTTTCACAGAACGTGTATTTCTGTTGCCGCTATAACAGCAAATAGTAAAAATAAATTTGAAATTAAAGGGTTTCCTACTAGAAAAAGAAACGTGTATTTTTGGCTTTTTTTGATCGATAGTAATATGTATGTATACTAAATCTTGTAAGATGGTACGGAAGCTCGAAAGACGGATTCGCACTTGGCAAATATTTGTTTATATTTAACCTAACCTTAGAAATACTCATATTTTTTTTATATAATTTACTATACTACTATATAAGCTACTACTAAATAAAATAGTAGTAGCTTTGCTATGGTATTATAGTATATATTTTGGTTTAGATTTAATTTACCTATTACAGAATAATACGAACTATATAAAAATTAAGGAGCGCATCAACCTACCTCAGATATTGGGTTATGAATACATATAAGTACACATAGGATTTAGTTTCTAATTTGTACATATTTTATAGCCTTCGTTATCAATAGCATAAACAGGCCACGCCCCCTAGCCTACAAACGTTTCGTAACGAATCTCTTTCTACAATCGCGCCTTTTATTTGTTTGGACTGACCACCTGACTAATTCAGTGATGTCAATCCCATACAGTGTTTAGTTTTCAACTAGCGTTATTTACTATCATAAAATAATTCAAAATTTTATTTATATTTCGCTAATTGTACAGACGTACTGTGAATTTGATTTACAATGGATCTGTAAATTGTAGTTTTCTTCTAATTACTTACCTTGTCTAGACGTCTTCTTTGGACTTTTGTAAGGAAGTCTGTGCTGTTAGTCCTATTCTGTTTAGGTACGTTACTATTTTGATAGACGTTTGTGCTTGTCCCCGCAGTGACACAATTCCTACAGTTGATGACTTTCTAAGTAGTAAGAGAATATTGCAAACCGCTATTGAACACAAACAATCAATAAACATTTTACAAACTAACATTTTTATTTATTTAATTAACCTACATAAAAGCCCCACTCACATCAGTCGCGCTGTCGAAAAAGCGGTTATCCTGACTCTGGCTGACATATATATACTTCGGGGAGTTGCCTGTGGCCTGTGGGCTATTATAGCTAACTAGCTATGGTAAGTAAATACCTATTTAGAATACATAGTACCTACAGTAATGTTTGCATAACCTACAATAAAATATATCTTGCCAGGTCGTCACTCCATCTAGTGGGGGGTCGCCCTACACTATGCCTACCGGTACCTCCCTTACCTCCCGCCACTCGAGAACCTTTCTTACCCATCGGTTATCGGTTCTTCGAGCTATATGGCCGGCCCATTGCCACTTCAGCTTACTAATCCGTTGGGCTCTCCGGTTTTACTGCGGATAACCTCATTTCTGAGTCTATCACGCAGAGAAACTCCGAGCATAGCCCTCTCCATAGCTCGCTGAGCGACCTTGAGCGTCCTCATACGGCCAACAGTGAAGGACCAGGTCTCAGATCCATAAGTCTTCACTGGCAACACGCACTGGTTGTAAAATCTAGTTTTTAGAGATTGAGGTATACCTGACGAGAAGATATGTCGTAATTTCCCGAACGCTGCCCAGCCGAGTTGAATCCGTCGATTGACCTCTCGCTCGAAGTTGGACTTACCTAGTCGGACTAGGTAAGTCCAACTGTACGACAAAAAAAACTGCGGTTGCCAACCCGCTCGCCAAGCGTGGCAACTATGGCAATATACCCCCCATGAACAGAACATACATAACCAAAAAACAACGAATTGAGAACCACCTCCTTTTTTCGAAGTCGGTTAAAAAGTAGGTATAAAGGTACTTAAATTCACATAAGAACTTTCATAATAACAACTAAATTGGGTTCATAATAATAACACCAATTTGTTTCCTCTCTCTTTTTTCTTTTTAAAATACGTCACCCCCACAGTAGGATTTTCTCCTGACAAACATCCAGACCCAGAACAACTATTTGTAGGCCATTCAAATATTTGTTCCGTGCGGGATTCGAAACCGCGGCCCCCAGCGCAGTATCATTGCTAAGCCACTGCGACAAGGAGCTTTCAATTGCGGTTTGAGTTTATGTTGTCATTCAAAAAAGAATCGCAATGTGTAGGTACGCGACGACGCCGTCGCTTTGCGTCACTCAGGAGTGTGTATGTGTGTGCGCACTAGCTTCTTACTGCTCATCACAGCGTCTATCTCTTTCGCACGTGATGTCGGCTGAGATAGCATGCATTTTAACCCCGCCCACCATTTAGTTCGAGCTATCGACTAGGGCAACCTTAAGCTAATATTTTGACGTATCTCGCTTAGAGGATAACATTAAATGTTAAGGTCAAATAAAAATAAAGAAAAATAAAGTTAAAAAACAAAAAGGAAAACAAAAGTTCTTATTTATAATGTAGGAAAAAATTGGAATCAAGTACCGGATATCTATATCCGGTACTTGATTTTAATAATATTTTTAATCTAGGAGGCTTGTTAGGGTTAAGCTTGAACCTAGGTATTATACTGTTTTTAGATTTCGGAAATGTGTTTTGAATTAATTACGATAAAAACAAATTTCACTAAAAATCACTCGGAACCAGACAATCCATTTGTGTCTAAAGATGGGACTCATATACAACAAATTGAGTCACAATGGAGAGCAGTCCAGAGGTTTTCAGAAAACAAAATGATAACAATTCACATTACATTATTTCATTTACCACTATCATAGCAGAGTTTAGGGCAACCTGACTTTATAAATAAGATTGTTCAAATCTGTTCTAAAACCGAAACAGCACGCTCCGACTCTACGTAGTCGTCTGCCCCACCCCTAGTAAAGTTGTTCAAAACGACTATAAATCAATAACACGCTACAGACTATAAACTATATATTTCTAGCGCGCTATTAAATACGCTATGTTATGGCGCGCTATTTATAAGAAAGTGTGTAGGAGGCCGGTAAGCGCGTTAAGTTTTGAAGCACGTTATATATCTTAGCACGTTACATTACATGTCATTCATTGGATAGATCGCGTGCTATATAAGAACATTATTTCGTAATAAGTCGCATTTTAGACTAAAATGAAATAAAGCGGTAAAGAAAAACCAATGCACGCTTTTTCATACTTTTCAGGCTTACTACTTTCTATAATCTTAAGAATATTTTTAAGGCATGTACTTTTTAAAACTAAATAAAATTATTGTTTTTTATAATTGATGTAAACGTTATTTTAACCTTAATATAAATTATAAATCAAATAAAGGTGTATTTAAAAGTTTATTAATTGTATTTATAAAAATCAATTATTTACATACACTATTATATACACTTTTGTGTCTTTATTTTATTTACATTTAAAAACATTAGTTAGGTTTCTTTTATCACAACTGTGTCCTTTGATCACTTATAAATATACAGTATACACTAATTTAAACAACGTCCAACATTAAATTAGGTCGCGCGCTATGAATAGCGCGCTACGAGATCAAAGCGTCAGACGTCTTCTCCCAACAGCACTGCTGCTAGAACTAGTTGCCACTAGATATTAATACTTAATAGCGCCAAAGCGCCATAGCGCATTAGCGCCATGGCGACTACTTACATAACACACGCTATGTGTTAGGTAAAAAAGTGAGGTTATGATTTTACAAAAAAATTATTACTTATAAACTATACATTTCCGCAAATGTGGAAGAGTAGGGGAGGCCCCTTCCGAACCCTCCCCTTTCCCCTCCCCCTTTTTCGACCTTAGACCTTGCGAGCCTCGCTCGCGCTATTTTAGCATCCTGTTAAAGAAAAATATATAAATTTATAATGTCACATTATTTACAAATATGAGAAAATGTAGCATATTATTCAATACAATAAATTAATACATTGTTCAATATTTCGTCTATCAAAAACTAATAATAATAGGTAATAATAACATTCTACAGACCAAGTTTCGGTCACGCAGGCGGGCTTAACAGAGAATAGCCATCTGCGAAGGACAGGATTATAGTACACGTGTGGACGAAAGCAAAGGTACATTCTCTATTCCCTCACTCTCATAGTGCAATAGGACGGCACTCCGACACGACCGGAGAGAGGTGCAGTCCCAACGGCTATACGTGCTTCTCGAGAACCGGCGGTAGAATACAACCAACTTCCTGTCTCTGAGCTGCTACGGAGAATTTCGTGATAAAAAATCCAATAACTGATTTTGGCTCGACCCTGGATATGAACCCGGGGCCTCATGATCAGCAGTCACGCATACGATCAATAGACTAACGATACAATCCATCCATCCATTACGTTTTTCATGTGGCAGAGTCACGCTGCAGCTATATTGTGGTTGCAGCACGAATGGGTCGGTTCGACCGGGGTAGGACCATGCTCTTACAGAATACCAGCCTAAAATAGCAGCTTGATGTTGCTGTGTTTCGTATGGCGAGTGTAGAGAACCGGAGACCCTTTTTACTGGAAACGAGGCATTCCATCTCAGTATCCAGGGGTGACAACGCATTTGCATTGTGATTCTCAGAATTTTTATGAAGATAAATAAATGTAAATGTCTATGGGCCACAGCATCCACTTACCATCAAGTGGATTGTGTGCCCGTTTGTCAAACTATCCTTTAAAAAAAACGACGGGTTGAACTCCGGGAGTGCCGGCAGAAGTGACAACTTGAATATTATTAACATTTTGATATTTTGGAATGATTTGGGAATAATTTTGCACGAATTGCTTTAATTATCACACACGAACATTCGCGCAAGCGCCCTGCGCCGCCTAAACGAAACAGCAGGCGCAGGCATACATTTTCGCCGCGCCGTAGAAAGAGAGGGGGATACTTCCTCTCCTACGCCGCGCCGGCTGTCTCTCTCTCTCTCCATCCGTCTTACGAATTTTCGATCAGGGTAACGTGTCCTGACGCGAGTTAACATTTTTTACCCATTACAAAAAAGTTTACAACGCCGCTAAATAAGTTTCCACTTCAAAAAAAACATCCATTACAGCCTACAAAAATCCACTGCTAAACATAGGCCTCCCCCACAGAATGCCTCATAGGGGAGATTTTGGCAATTTTATTAATTTTGAGTTGTTATCAGGAAATGCTGCTGCCATCTCCTGTTTCAATTTCGCTGTGTCGCCTCTAACGTCACCCACGGGAAGACATGGGTTAGTGGATATTCTTACACCGTCTCTGTATGGTTTAGTGAATCGCTATTAAATACTACACTACTATTAAATACCTCAGACCAATAATACTTGTTCATTTAGATGAGTTTAATACATTTCCACAAAAATTTTCATGAAACTAGAAACCGTTCTGGCTTCCGGATTTATTACCGTGGCTATATTTAGATCTAAAATAATCATCAAAGACCATGTATTTTGTAAATTTTTCTTGTTTTGTCAAAAATTATATCAAGTTTTTTGGATATAACTTTAGGTTAAAGTTAAAAAAAAAACCGAAACAAAAACAGCTGATGATCTTCAAATGTCTGAAAAGACTTTCTTGAATCACAGCTAAGAACACTCGATCAAGTCACCTTTCAAAAAAACAAACAAAATCTAAATCATCATCCAAAGGTTCATCCGTTTTGAAGCTAAAGTCCCAGACGGACACACAGGTGGTACACATGTTAAACATATAATATCCCTCCTTTTCGTCGGCTGTTAAAATATAGACTAGATCACTGTTCACTGTCTGGGCTAATCTTCAGAATGGCTAAAGAGAACAATGCCAGAATGATCTACGGCTATGGTATATTCTATCTTAAAAACTTGGAGATTTTTTTTTTGAAAACGAAAAATTGAGAAAGTAAATGGTATTTGATTATCTTGAATTAAATAAACGCCACATTATTAGATCCTACTAGTACTAGATCGATAATAGATACAACTAGAGATGAATACATACTACTAATTGACTAGTCTTCGGAAAGAAGGAATGAGTATGGTTGATGAATCTACACAGATATAACTGAATTTTGAAACCGTATTTTTACACAAATACGGTTGGTGGCGAAAATCGGGAACAATTGGTGACTGGCCAAACATGGCAATCCCCTGTTGGCGTTATCACTATAGATTCAACTTCATTGAGTAGCGTTTGTTAAAAAAAAAATAGAATGTATATGTATAGTCTGTTCAATAAGACGCACCTATTATTTTGCTACTAATTTATAATTTTTTACTGTTTTTTAGTTAAATGTTTTTCAATTCTAAGAATAAAATAGTATTCTTTTTTATTTTACTTTACGGTTATTGTAATAAAATACGAATATAAATAATAAACACACAAAATAAGGTAGCAAAGAGTATACTTTCGTTTTAAAAATTATACCTTGAAATTTGATTTCGAGGCGGCAACTTTGACAAGACGCGAAACGTACCAAGGCGGCGCGACACAGAGGCCACCGTTTTTAGGAAACAGACGACCGCATCGACAAGTTTGAGAAATAAAAAAAGTTCGAAGTCATGTGAAGTCCGCCAACACTCGTCGGACAACTTTTTAGCGAATTCTTTAGCTCCAAAAACCTGTGAAGGTTTACTGTGAACTGATCGGAAACGAGCACGCCTCACAGTGAGGCAAATGAAGGCTGTTACTTTAAATTACTCATAAGATCTCGTGTGTTGATTATGATAATGATACCTTACTTTACTTCTATAATCTGGTGATTTATTGAACTATGGACATTAATAGTGACAAAAAACTAAGAAAGAACAAACGCATCATATCAAATACTGACATACATGTTACAGGTAAAAACCATCCACCATCCTCCATAATCCTTGCTCATCAGATCTAGAACGATCTTAAGTAAGACATTTTAAATATTTCAATTACTATAGAACTAGAGCAATAATGTTTCAAAATAAACTTTACAAACCTTGGAATACTCGCAGATTTGTACGAAACCAATATCTTCCTTCTTAAAATAATTTCTTATTCGAACAAAATCGAAGTAGCTAGGCACATATATAAGCGTGTGACTCATCAGTGTGTCACGTTGTTTGGGCAGGATCTCCTTTATAAAGTAGTCGAATCTACTATCCACGGATGCCAACGGAGTCGTGGCGTTAAATCTGTAAAACATTTGATAAGATAAACATGATGTTATACTGACCGATATTGACCTTGGCGACATATCCTATGCTGTTACCCTATCAAAGTACACTGCTGATGCTGACAAATTGGTCTATCCATAGATTGTACATAAGAGGGATATAAACTATTATTGCTACGATTAGGTTGGATTTCGCAGTTTTTTATTTTCTACTTTTTATAAAGGCGCTGATGCAAGTTTGCTTGCCACAATGTGAGTGGTATGGACACAATTGGATCAATTTTTATGAAGTTTCAAACAAACGCATTCGCGCTCACAAAATACATAACAATATGAGAAGGAAACGAAATTATCACAGGAATTCGGATTTTATATATAATAATATTCAAGCCTAATTCCCACATCAATATTAGTGTACTGATGTGTTGCACTTCTAGGCAACAGATGGAACCTGCTTATAGTATAATTCCATGCATATCAAGTTATCTTGTTCACATGTATTAAGGAGTTTTACTTTTTATAAACGATTTATAAAAAGGAATATTTTGAAATCGTGTTTATGAGTGAGGAGACAACGTGTGTACTAAGTGAAGTAGAAATTCCGAAAGAAGAGGAAAGAGGTAGCGAGATTAGTGTAGGTGAAATAATGAAAGCAATGAAAAGCATGAAAGCAGGTAAGGCTGCCGGATATGATAGAGTTTCACTCGAAATGCTAAGGGCTGGAGAGGAAGTGGTGGCAGGCCTGCTGCACACCTTGTTTAATTTATGCTGGGAACTGAAGCGGGTACCGGGAGACTGGTGCAAAGCCGTGATAGTCCCAGTATATAAGGGAAAAGGGTCGCAGCAGGACTGTAAAAACTACCGTGGCATCAGCCTTCTTAGCATTGTGGGAAAACTGTATGCTAAGGTACTGATTGAAAGGGTCATGAAAGAAACTGATGGAAAAATTTGGGATGTGCAAGCAGGATTTAGAAAGGGAATGGGATGTACAGATCAAGTCTTTTCCATGCGCATGATCGCGGAGAAGTTTTTGGCCAAAAACCAAAAGGTTTTTTGTGCGTTCATGGACTTGGAAAAGGCCTATGACAGAGTGAATAGGGATGTGCTATGGCAAACACTGAACTCATTTGGGTTGAGCGCTGGCTTGATACGGGCATTGGAGTCCCTTTATAGGGACTCTAGTGCTTGTGTTAGGATCAACGGGGTCTACTCGGACTGGTTTGACATCCATAAAGGTGTCAGACAGGGCTGTGTAGCTTCCCCGTGGCTGTTCAACCTATTTATGGACAGTTGTTTGCAAAATTTGAAAGTTGAAGAATGCGGATTAAGAATGGGTGAGTTAACCGTCAAATGCCTTTTGTACGCCGATGATCAAGTTATACTTGCGTCGTCGGCGGCCGAGTTGCAAATGATGGTTACATTAATGAACAGATCATTAAAAGAAAGGGGTATGAAAGTGAACGTAAGTAAGACGAAGGTTATGGTTTTTGAAAGAGAAGAAAGTAAAACGATTTGTGAAATAAGAATAGAAGGGGAGTTGATCGAGCAAGTAGATGAGTTTGTATATTTGGGCTGCGTATTTAGCAGGGATGGGAGATATGATAAGGATATAGAACGACGAGTGAATGCGGGAAATAGAGTAAATGGGGCCCTGCACTCTATTGTGAAGAGTCAAAATGTGTCGAAAAAGGCACGTATGGCAATTCACAATGCTGTGTTGGTCCCTACTTTAACATATGGTAGTGAAAGTTGGGTGTGGCAGAAGAAGCACGAGAGTAGAATGAACGCAGTAGAAATGCGGTCGTTAAGGAGTATGTTAGGGCTGAATCTTAATGACAGGGTAAGAAATTGTGTAATAAGAGAAGAGTGTGGTTTGCAAGATGATGTTGTGACCAGGATTAAGAAAGGAATGCTTCGGTGGTTTGGTCATGTGGAAAGAATGAATGAGGAAAGAGTGACAAAGAAAATTTATGTTGCAGAAGTGAATGGCAGAGTCGGAAAGGGACGTCCTAGGCGAAAATTTATCGACCAAATTGGCGATTTATTGAAAACGGGCCAAATTAGGAGTACCCTTAACCGACGAGCATGTATGCGGAGGTGTATGGATGTGAAGGAGGCGAGAGAGGTGTGTCAGGATCGTGCCAAATGGAAGTCTGTAGTCTCTGCCTACCCCTCTGGGTGACAGGCGTGAGTGTTTATGTTATAAATGTGACAAGTGGCCATGGTGCATTCCATCTTAGTTCTCAGAGGTGATAATGCATCTGCAGCGTAGACAGAGAAACCTATAGACTAATGATTAGCGTGGCCTCGAGTGAGAAAGGACAATAACGTAGTTTTAGGTTATACAATAATCTTAATGACTTTTAAACATATTTAGATAAAATTTTAATTGTTCTAAGAACTGAACTGAACAAGATTCACCAATCTTAAGCTCACAAAAAACTTTTTTCTCACATAAACCAACTTGTAAACTCCTTAGATCGCTACGTACTGTCAAAGTTGTTTAGCAAAGTGCAGTTTGCTAAACAAAAAAATCGGCACGGAGAAAGGGACAAACAATCACAGCGCTCTGTCTCATTTCTATGAATCTCTCATTCGTATGTATAAATATATCTTTTTCGTGTGCGAATGCGAAAGAAGGCGTCAATTGGTCTATAGAACTCTGCCTGCAACAGGAAGCACGGGCAACTAACTATGTCAATGCTTTTCGTTGCTGCCCGTCCCAAGCCCGGAAAAGAGGAGGGAACGGTTCCGTAGGAGAGAGTGGGTGTATCCGGTGGACTAACATACCCACCTGCGCTAGGACCTGCGTAGTTGTGCGCCGTATGCGGGGATGAAGGAGTCCTGGAGGGTTGAGCCGATCGTCACTGGAGTATATAGTGTCGAGAGGCAACACGCCGTCTTTGGTCCGGATTTCAAGCTAAACGGTGGCCTTATCTGCTAGCCACAGATAAGGAAATGGCCAAGCGTCCCGTCAGAGGGTCGCAGGCGAGGGATGTGGGGGGCTGCCTAGTCTCTCTGAAGAGGGCTAGGTGGTGGTAAAGGCCATGCTGACGGGGCAAGTGAAAGTCAACTCGGACAGTGGGGATGGGCCTTTTCAGCCCTATCTGCCAGCTGGATCGAGATCCCGATGTCGCACTGTGAGCCAACTCTGCGTCCCTATATTCCCCCGGTAATCCTAACGCCTGAAATTCTTTTAATAAAGTAGGGCGTTCCCAAAGGTGCGGGCTCCATGGAGGGTGGGAAGCCGGGGTGACGAATTATTACACATGTCAAAAATTATAGACAACACAAGGCCAATTAGTAGAGAGGGAGAAGTGTCAAAGGTGTTTACCTTAGACATTGATAAACCAGAAGGAACCGCCGTTAAACCGGCCGTTCCACTAATTGTACCACCCAGCGTAGGTGGCCTCACCAAGGGGGCAATTTCCGCGCTGGATGTCTCTAAATCCAGTTCCAAATCCAAGGAGCTGGACGAAAAAATGAGCAAGGGGCCGCGAGTAGCAAAACTCCTGCGGAGCCCCAAAGGACCGAAGACCTTTTCTCCACTGCCTGGCAAGTGGTGAGCCGTAAGGGGAAGCACAAGGCACCCAAAATGGTGACTTGCCGACCCGACGGACCATCAAGTGGGTCTATCCCAGCAGGCAGTAGTGCAAAGGTCAAAAACAAGAATTAGAAGCAGCGAGAAAAAGGACGCAGAGAAAGAGCTGCGCTCGCAGCTTCCAAGAGCAAGACTCAGGGAGCTGGGCAAGCTACTGCTACTGCGGTGCTTGGGGCTAGACCAGTAGTCGTGCTGAAACTGGGAAGGATGAAAATCCAGCCCGAGCAGTAGGCACGGCCGCCAGAACCAGCTCTAAGAAATCCGCCAGAAACCAGAGAGCAGCCAAGCGTCCTGGAAAGAAGGAAAGAGCAGCCAAAAGAATGCTGGAGGAGTCCACCTCGCCGAGATGAGAGCACAAAAAAGTGCGACTTGAACAGCAACCAAAGGCTGCAAAAACAAGCTACGCTTCTGCTGCTAAAGCAGATTTGGGTGTGGCCTTAACGTGTGCGCGTTCAGGTTACATAACAAAGGAGGTAGCTGATGACATCCTCGTGGCCATACAGAGGAAGATGATCAGCGAGCCGATGCACAACCCAGCCGAAGCCCCCAGTGGAAACTGAGCTCAGCGGCAGCTCACTGAGCGACGAAGAGGACTGCATTTTGCCGTCCAATACCGACTCGGTGGCTTACGATGAGACCCGAGATCTAATGGCAGGCTTATTTTTAGGCGGGAACGGGGATGACGCGATCAATGATGGCGTGTCCTTCGTTCAAAACTAGCCTAGTGCAGACCAACCTCCACCACAGTGAGACAGCGTCGGCTCAATTACGCAAGTGGTTGGAGGCACAAAGGACGGCCATAGCCCTAATCTAAGAGCCATGGGTTGGGGCCGGTAAAATTAAAGGCCTAAACAACCTAAGAGCTAAGTTATTCTACAACTCTGAGCACGACAAGCCTAGAGCGTGTATTTATACTACTAAGGATATCTGTGCAAAGCCATTAACAGATTTCTGTTCCAGAGACATGTATGCCGTAGTATTACAAGACACAGGAGGAAAGGTTAGTCGTCGCCTCGGTCTACATGCCTGAGGAAGACACCCCTCCCCCTCACGACCTCGTCAGGCTGGTGAATTTCTGTGAGAGGGCCGGACTAGATTTTGTGATCGGGACGGACTCCAACGCGCATCATCCCCTTTGGGGAATGGAAAAACCTAATGAACGAGGTAAGGTTTTAGTTGAATATTTATTTAGCACTAACCTAACCATTTTAAACACTGGTTCTGAACCAACCTTCATAAATAAACGCTGTCGCACAATAATCGACCTCACACTTGCAACAGAAGGAGCAGCTAGGCTAATAACGGGATGACATGTGTCGAAAGAGGCCTCATGCTCAGACCACAGATTGATCTGCTGCGCACTACAGGTAGATATCCCCGCTATACCACCATGGAGAAATCCCCGCAAGACGGATAAAACAAAATACCTCAATAGGCTGACGTCTTCGCTCGCGGGTGTTGAGGGAACTAATACCATAGCAGATCAATCGCTCCTAGAAGAACAGGTAGCAGCTGTCACTAAAGCTATGATCGATAGCTACCATGAATCATGTCCAGTAATCACTCCACCAACACATGCTGAGCAAAAGTGGGGTAAAGAACTAGACAGGAAACGTAAGAAAAGCCCTAAATAAGGCAATGAATACCTCAAAGGATGAAGACTATCTTCTATATAAGAAAGCTAAGTCTGAATACAAAAAATGTATCAAGTGTCGACGCTCAACAGGGTGGCGCAAATTCTGTGGTAGCATAGAAACCTGTGAACAAGCAAATCGGATAAGGGAAATCCTAGCTAAACAGAACACGCTGGGATCTATCTCTTTAAAGAAACTCGACGGAAGCTACTCAACATCGCCGGATGAAACCCAACGCATCCTAATTGATACTCACTTCCCAGGTTGCCGTGTAGTTGAAAGGGTGAACCGGCATGAAGATGCACTTACACCAACAAAAGAAGACTGGGAATTAGCACAAAGAGTGGTGACGATGGGCATAATCCATTGAGCCATTCATAGTTTCCAACCCTATAAGGCAGCAGGACCTGACGGCTTATTCCCGGCACTTCTACAGTGGGGGGTAAAGTCCTAATAGTCAGACTTGTTGCCATAATGAGAGCATGTCTGGCTTTTAAATATGTTCCTAGGGGATGGAGGGAAGTGAAAGTCACGTTCATACCCAAACCAGGTAAGAACGACTATACAGACCATAAATCCTACAGACCTATTAGCCTCACATCCTTTCTCCTAAAAACGATGGAGAGGATGTGTGAACGGGAGTTGAGAGGGTCGGCGCTAATTAACTTACCACTACACGAAAAAGAACACGCCTATAGCTTAGGTAAATCAACAGAATCGGCACATAACCAGGTAATAACAAAGATTGAAGAGGCTATCCAAAACAAAGCAATATGTCTAAGCTCCTTCATATACATAGAAGGTGCTTTTGACAGAACAAATTTCTCCAGCATAAAAGGTGCACTAAGTAGACATAATGTTGAACCGGCACTGATTGACTGGATAGTAAACATGCTCACGAACAATAAAGATTGCTGGTGAATCTCAAACAATTCAGATCATGAAAGGATGCCCGCAGGGTGGGGTTCTTTCACCTCTCCTGTGGAATATGGTCATTAATGAACTCATCAGCATATTAAACGCTAACCATTTCTACACAATCGGTTATGCAGATGATCTGACAATACTGGTCTCTGGTAAGACAGCAAGCATTGTGTGCGACCTGACCCAAGCGGCTCTCCGTATTGTGGAAAGATGGTGCAGGGAATATGACCTAACCGTTAATCCAAATAAAACGGTTATAGTAATGTTCACACAAAAACGAATGCTGAGTAACTATCATCTTCCAAGTCTTTTCAGCACAAAACTCCAGCTTTTCTCTGAGGTAAAATACCTAGGTCTTACCTTGGACAGTAAACTTAACTGGAACAAACACATAGAAAACAAAATCAGCAAAGATAGTTTAACTTTCTGGCAATGCAGAAACATGATTGGCAAACGATGGGGTTTAGCGGCAAAAATTATACTGTGGCTGTACAAAACTGTAATTCGGCCCATGATCACATACGGCTCTCCGGTATGGTGGACCAAAAACAAAGTAGCCACCACTATACAAAATCTTCAGCGTTACCAGAGATTAGCTTGTATGGCTGCCACGGGCTGCATAAGGACTACACCAACAGTAGCTTTGGAGGCTATAGGGCCGGAACCAATAATTCCAATCCCCTTTGGCTACATTCGTTCACTGGTACGTAGATACTTCAAAAATTTACACGCTCAGCTTTGGAAAAATTTAGTAGACTGTAGACAAGCTAGGGAGGCCCTACCTGAAATAAACAGTCGTCTAACCAAGCTTCTAATGAGACTGAACAAGCCACAGATCAGGATAGAAACAAGTGCTATCACAGGACATGGCTCTTTTAACAAACATTTGTTCACCATAGGTGTTACTGATAGCCCCCTGTGCAGGGCATGCATGGGAGAGGAAGAAACGGCGGCTCACGTGTTGCTGACATGTCCAGAAGTCGCTTCATACAGGGCTAAACATCTCGGCACGCCGGGATCGCTCCCCGAAGTTGCTTGCAACATCAAAGGACTGCTGAGCTTCTTCGGGGAGATATCATGGCTCGAATAACCATATTATTCCTGGCCACACGCAAAATACGCGCTTAGACGTGGAGTTGCGGAAAACAGCCCGTCGTAAACTAAACTAAACTAAAATTGGTCTATAGGTTTCTCTGTCTACGATCTGTAGCCTTCTTTAATTCAAGATAGCTGCACGTAGACTGCAAAAGCCACTTACTGTCAGGTGGATTGTAAGTTTGTTTGTCACAGCGTTGTGTATGTGTTGAAAATTTTAAAGAAACAGTTGTAGTGTGTTTCTGAAATCACTAAGATATAGATGAAAGAATTAAAAGCCTCATTTATCATTAAGTAAATTCATTACGATTTTCCATATTGTTGAATTTTTAGTAAGATGTCATCTGAATAAACTCCAGTAATTTTTTTTGTAAATATAACCTTGTATAACAACCAACCTGTGGAAAAGCTGCGGTACTTGGAGTAACACTTGTTGAATGCTTCCTATTTCAATTGGGTTTGTTATAAACACCTTGCCAGCGTAATTTTGGCATTTTCTATTCATCACCGACTTTATTTCTGGTAATGACACTGACGAGAAGATTAAAGTTTGCCTGAAATATTAAAAAAAATTTTTTTTTCAATAGAAAAGCCATATACAGGGTTATTTTGCAATATACGGCCAAATTTGCAGAGAAGGTTCAGAACAAGTAATATAGGCGAATGGTGAAGAAAAATTAAAACATTCGGTCCTTTTTATCTCTTAAACTCAGAAAAGTGGTAATGCAATTTTTTACTGTCTGTCATTCATAAATAACTAACGCCTAATATTTTAAGCATGCAGACATTCTTAAGGATCGCTCGCTAAGTTACCTTGTCGCGCGTCTTCCCGTAACCTGCCCTTCCGGTTATCGCTACACCGCTAGATACGTACGTCCGCTCGCTCGGTCAACAGCTGACGCTGACAGTGTTGACCGAGACCTCATTACGTACGCTTCGTTACCAATGACGAAACGAAAATATTCGAAAAACGGTGCGATATTATGCCTGTAGTACACTGCTCGCAAAGTTGAACAAAGTTGGGCAAAGACGAGTGTGTACAGGGACACTTCGCTTCACTTCGGGCAACCTCGCCTCGCCTCGGGTGACTTCCGATCGTTGTCGGTTTTTTTCGCACGAGTCAGTGGACTGAACTTTCGAGCACGAAGTGACTCTGTACATTACTCGGCTTACTTCTATAAAGTTAACGTTGTGCTGTTTAATTTAAAAACGTTTTGAATTCGATCCAAATTGTTTAAGCCAAAAATGAATTGGTCACAAGCAAGAGCAAATACTATTGCTTTTGGAGTTGCTCCAGGGGGAAACGGTAATATGGGACCCTGTACATAATTTTTTTTTACATCCAATATACGCAACATATACATAGTTATCCAACATACACAGTTAAAATAGGCAACAGTGCACAAAGCACAGCACAGCACAGCTGCCACTTTTACGTCCTCCATCTCGCCTAGCGTGTGAGTGACTAGTTCCTCACGAAGTTGAGCGAGTGTGTAGAAAGGCTCCTCGTACCTCGGCTGACCTCGGGGAATACTTCGGGCGAGGAACTTCGCGAGTAGTGTACTGCAGCCTTTACATTTTAGGTAATTTAAGTTTAGGTGGTGCGCAAAGATGATTCGAAAGTGAGTCTGTATCGCGGTAAGAAATTAACGTACATGTACCTAATGATTTCTTATATTTACGCGAACACTACACATTGATTAAAACTACTTTTACGGATTTTATCGCGTTTATTTTACTATTATTTTTAATTCCCGACGTTTCGGGCGCTTTCCAGCACCCATGGTCACGGGGACTGAGATGACTGACGTCCCGATGTCATTGTTAAACCCGGAGTACCTTCAGCTTTTTTAATTATTGTTTATGGTCCGATCTATGCAAAATGAACTGACTATGTCCTGAGGTCTTGCAGTGGTATGCTTGGGTTTAGTTTTAATTTTATTGATTATAGGATCCCAAGTTCCCCAAACTTTTTTGTGTCGTAGACCCCTTGCCATGTTTTTCCGTGTTGGGTAGATCCCCTACTTACCTGATATTGATTTCCTGTAAATTTCTAACTGTAGTGAAGTTTAGTGTTAAAAACTTAAAGTAAAAACACATGTTAATATATACCACTTATTAATTGAATTTAAATTAAAACCACTCAAAATAAAATTTTGTATCTGTTATGTAAAATATACGTAGTATTAAATAAACATAAAATAAACTATAAATAAAATAACATAGGCAATAAGTCAATATTTTAAGTGAGAAGGATGAACCTGATGCTTTAATAATAAATTATCAACATTTGGCGTCAATTTTGTAAGGGTTAATCTTAAATCTCCTCGGCTAATGATGTCCAATCTGTTTCTTTTTTTCGTTAGGTGATTGTTAACAGCGCTGAACCCCTTTCCACTAGGTATGACGATGGAAAGGAAATTAAAATTTCCTCGCTATATTCCATAATACGGGATAAGTAACGGGTATGTTGTTTTGCAGCCAGAATTGCTGATATCCGTTTTTAAACTGAACCTTAAGTTCTTCGTTTGTACTTAGTTCAGTCAGTTCCTCTTGTATTATGACATTCGTTTCTTCTATGTCACCATATGGATTAATTATCCACGGTGGTATTACCATAGTCAAAATATCCTCAAACCTAGATTCAAAATCTGAATAGAGGGCATTTATATGTTGAACGTAAATTGAAACGTCGTCTTCCTGGCATTTTGTCTGTGTCAAATTGGGGAACAGAAAATTCGCCCCGTCCAATCTTTTGCTTCATTAGTTTAACTATGGCAAGAAACGCTGATAAGATGGATGTAGGGGATGAGAGCTAAATGGACTGTATTTATTTGTTTTCCTATTATATTTACGCTAGGAATTACTATATTGTTGCAAATTGAAATGAAATTAACTGAGCCTAATTCTGTGACATCTGTCTGACTAAATAAGGTTGAGTTGAAATTCAATCCGTTAAGAAACAATTCACTATATTTACAATCTACATATTTACAATTATTTATTATGCGGCAGTTATCACTGAACTAGTAGGGATCTTGAGGGCTTCTTGCTTGCTTGTTCTTCTGATTTGGGCCGCTTGCTGTCGCTCGAATTGCCGTTCGAATGCCGCTCGAATGACGAAGGCGCGCCAGAAGCGCTTCTTATATTCCGTAGGACGGTGCGCCGTAGGCACCGAGTTAGTGAGGGTGTCGTCCGCGCGGGGCCCTTGTTCTAATGCGGGGCGCGCGGGGACGTATCGACGTGGGTGCGGTGCGAGGCGATGGCTGAATTTACTCGCCGTCCGCAACATCCTCCCCCCGGCGTAGTCTACGAGCCCTCTTCTCTCGGGAGGACGGCGATCTTCCTGACCGGCCTCCTCAGCAAACCGCCTCTTGTCCTGACTTCGACGTTCCGAACCACTCCATCTGGTCCGGGAAAGGTCCTTGTGACGACTCCTCTTGGCCATACGTTTCTCGGGAGGTTGCCGTCTGCTATGATGACAAGGTCATCTTCTTTGATCTGGGGCTGCTGGGCGTTTCTCGATTCCCCTCTGAGCACCAGGGTCGGTAGGTACTCACGAACCCAGCGTCGCCAATATTCGTCGGCCAGTCCTTGTGCAGCCCTCCAGGTCCGTCGATCCGCTGATGAACACGTCGCGCTGACTGGCATGTTGGATTGTCCCAACAGAAGAAAGTGGTTGGGAGTCAGGGCTTCCTCGTCGTCGATCCCGACTGGCACGTTAGTGAGAGGTCTGGAGTTTACAGTGTTCTCAGCCTCTGCCAATAGCGTTATTAATGTTTCCTCCTTGGGGCTCTTGATGATGAGTAGTCTCGAGCGCTGCTTTGATGGAACGCACCAATCGTTCCCATGCGCCTCCCTGGTTGGGCGCACCCGGTGCGATGAACTTCCAATCCGTTCGATGAGTAAGCGCAAAGTCCTTCAGCTGCGGTGCCCACTCCTCCATGGCCCGTCGTAATTCGGTGTCTGCTACGTGGAAATTGGTGCCGTTGTTTGAGTAAAGTACCCTAGGTCACCCGCGCCTAGCCGCCATACGCCTAAGTGCCATTATCGCCGAGTTCGTGGTTAATCCATATACCAATTCTACGTGTACCGCGCGCGTCGTAAAACAGGTGAATAACGCAACCCATACCTTCTCATGCCGTCGCTCTATAGTTACAGTTAACGGCCCGAAATAATCTAACCCGGTATACGTGAATGGTCGTTCGAACACTCTTAACCTCTCGGGAGGCAAGTCTCCTGTTACCGCCGGTCATGGTGCTGCTTTACTAACGCGACATTGCATACACCTTTTCTCGATTTCCCTAACCGTTGGTCGCAGTCAAATAATGTAGTACTTTCTTCGGAAGTAGTTGACTACTCGTTCTCTGTAGGCGTGGCTAGCGTCCTGGCGTGCCTTCTCCACGAGCATCTGTACGAACCGGTGTCTGCCGTTCAATATGACCGATCGCTTCGTTTGATTTTCCACAGCGGCCGCATCGATTCTACCTCTTGCTCTTAGTATTCCTTGTTCGATGACCGGGTCGAGCCTTTTCAGTGCGCTGCCGTTATGTAAGTCTTCGCCTTGGTAGAGCCGAGCGATGTCATCAGCGAAACTTTCCTGCTGACTCTGCGCTACCCATAGCTGCTCTGCCTTTTCAATATGTTCTAGTCTTAATTCTTTAGCTCGTCCTCGAAGCATGTCGACGAACTGTATGACTCGCGCCGTAGCTCTGATGAGTCTCTCGTATGAAGAGAATCTCGTTATGTCTGGCAGGTGTGGCGCTCCCCTTATTTCTCGCTCGTGCGCCACGATTTCCTCATATTCCTTACCTGCCCTTTCTTCCGGTTGCTGTGGCCATTCTCCTTCGTCTTTATATAAGAAGTCCGGTCCGCTAAACCGTTTGCGCTCTTCGTTAAGTAATTTGCTCGCGTCGCTTCATCTGCTACGTTGTGAGCTGTTGGTACCCACTTCCATTGGTCGGGTGATGACTTTTCTCCTATCTCCCCGAGCCTGTGTGCGACGTATGGAGCGTAACGCGCCGTGTCATTTCTAAATCAATGGAGCGCCGTTGTAGAGTCTGCCCAGAACACTATCCTATCCGCTCTCATCCTATGCTCGCTTTGTACGAATTCAGCAAGTCGTACACCTACTAAATTCGCCTGTAATTCGAGTCGCGGTATGCTTTGACTTTTAATCGGAGCGACTTTCGCTTTGGCCGCTACTAACGTGACTCGTATCGTACCGTCGCGATAACGGATACGCCAATAAGCTGCTGATGCATATGCACTTTCACTCGCGTCACTAAAAATATGCAATTGACGATTTACTACTCCCCCCGTAGGAGCATAACACCGCGGGAGATATAACCGTGATACATCCTCAACGGCTCGCAACCATCTCGCGAATTCGTCCGCGGCCTCCTCGAGAATCTCATCATGCCAACCGATTCTCTTCATCCGCCACAGGTCTTGTAGCAGAATCTTGGCGGTAATGGTGAGGTAGCTGAGCAGCTCTAGTGAATCGAAAACGGACATAACCGCGCTCAGCGCCTCCCTCTTAGTCGGTGGACGG